CCAACCAGCTAAATAGAAAAAAAATGCATTGGAAAATAGAACAGAAACAGCAGCACATAAAATGTTAATAGAGAGACAATAATTAGCATCAGCTAAAAATACAGTAAGTTATAGTTGAAGAGTGAAAGTTCATTATTAACTGTGGAAACTGCAGTTTGCCAAGTTTGTCAGTGAGATCCAGTTCAAAGCTCCAAAAAAAGCAAGTAAGTGCCCCTTGAGTTAAGTTTTTTTTTTGGTAGTAAAATGTTTTCAGAATATTCACCGTATGGGGGCTTTTATCATAAAGTTCGTTTTTGTGCTCACTTAACACTGGTGAACTCAGTGTTGCAGTAAAGTCTTGTGAAGTAGGATCATGTAACTTTTGCTAACAATAGCCACTGTGGCCACAAGTCACAAGGACACTATAATGGTACAAATTTATAGCATAGAAAAACACAAGTAGAGAAGAGTCATAACGGCAGCAAACTGACTCAGTAATGGCAGTTATACAACAATATCTATCTAAAGTTAGCAAGTATTAGCTAAAATTAGCCACACTGAGCTATTGGTCATACCTGACCAAGTAAAGCTGTAGCAGCAAAATTCCTGTGTTTATTGAATTGAGCAATTATTGCTTATTAATTTAACTTTATATTTGTAAGAGGGAGAATATGTTTTTTCTTCTTTCACAAGTTGTGTATGGCTCACTGTAAGAGAGTGAGTTATGCAGTATGCTGTAATCCCTAGAAGTTCAGGCGATGTAGTTATGGTTGTACACATTGGTTTATGTTGCTACATAAATTTCCCTCACAGCACACTGTGGATTAATATATGGAGAGAAGCAAGAGGGGTGAGGTGTAGAATAAGAGAAAAGGACGGTGAAGGAGAGGCACGGAGAGGCTGAAAAAAGTGAGAGCCCTCTAATATCGCCTGTTTTCTATTATTCATGAGTTACAAGGAGGAGTGGAGGGGAAGGAAGAGAAGAGATTGTAGCTTTCCATCTTTCCCTTGAGTGTCGCCTTCTATAGGACCAGCTGCCGCCCATGTCTCTACTGCCGATCTTTCAGTTTTTTTATTTTCTCTCAGGCCATCATTCATTTTCTCTCTCTCTCTCTTGCAGATTTGAACTTAAAGAGTTTTGCATATATCCCAGAGGCAGAGCTGCTCAGAGCCACAGAACTGCAGTTTCTCTGGCTAAGAAACACATTGAAGGCCAGCAAAAAGGCGGGAGGCAGGAACAGATGCTAAGAATGTGTAGGCTAGTATTCTACTGCCTGAAAAACTCAAACAGCCTATAGCTAGTTGGCTGTAAGTTAGATAACCAGCTGACTTTCCAAGATCGTGACCATGAATGCTAATATGGCCATAAATATGAACATTTGATAATTTAACAAATGTTCCTATTTTACCATTTGTTTAAGAGTGTGTATTTAGCCAGGTTGCTGTTTTCTATGATGGAGAAAACGACCGACCTTAACCAGCCTCCTTTGTAAACTGCAGGGGTCGGGTATTGGATTGATTTTGGGTGGAGTATATTTGTTGTCTGACATCATGTTCATGTTAGACAATTTTTGGTTTGGAGATGGGGTTATAATTTGTTTGTTTTTTATCCTAGCCATTCAGTTGGAAGTATCTGCCCTGCTGGTGTCATTTTCAATCAACAGCCGCGTTACTGTTTTGTTTTTTTTTCACAACAATTAAAGGAAAATGTCAATTAAAGAGTCGCTTTTTCAGTTTTTCAACCTGTAGAGCTGTGTTGATCTCATCCAATCAATGTTGTCATTTTTGTGTCACTGTTTCTGTTTCTGGCTCTGGCACAAGAAGCCATCCCAATTCTCAATGCCAGCTGTCAGTGAGCACCACACCTACAGTATTTCAATAACCAGGCCACTCTTACTGTAGATTTGCAGTTTAAAATATTATTACATTATATTATACACATGTACACACAAAACACCAACCAAGAGAACCAAGTTGTCTAAAAATGTTCTACTTTATTCAATAAGATAAATGTTTTTGTAAAACATTCAATAAAAAATGATCTTTAATTTATTGCTCATTGTCACTTTTACACTTGACTTGATTTGATGCATAATAATTTTTCCAAAGCACTCTCACAAGGAATATGTTGCTAGATATTTAGACAAGATTTTATGCTGTCATTATAATAGTAATAACATACGTACGCACGTTCAGATTATATAAAAACAAACCAAACAATAAAAGTTACAGTTACAGACAAGGGACAGGAAGACTCAGGAATCCTCTCACGTACTTTTGGAGCTAGGCCACTGTGATACTGTAGCGGACGCCATTTGTTGCTTTTCCAGTAGTGTTGTAAGAGCTTGAAAACAGTTGTAAACCTTGAATCCTAAAATCATGTTGGAAGAGGTAATAAACTTAAGCCTAACACTGGAAAAGCTACAAACCTGAAGCTCAGAACATCAGTTTTTGTACAGTGGAAGCCATTTTAACAGTCCCCCTCCATGCATTTATCATGAAATTACAAGGCTATATTTTAAAGCAAAGCTTTAGCATAATTTTCTCAGCTAGTTAACATATATTGTAATTTCCAACACCTAAACTATTTAAATAAAATAAAACGTAATGTCCAATATAAGGAAGGTACATAATGTACATGCGTCTCAGTGAACAATGGGACTTCTAAAATGGCTCGCCATGTTGCATATATTCTTATCGTTGCACTGGACATCCTAAATTCACTGGCCTCACTTCACTTACAGGGATACAATTTTACATTTGCAGTTGTTATTTTGTTCAGCAGATGTATTTTATAAATCTGAAACATGTCCGTGTGATTTTATCGAATCTTTGTCCAGACATGTCGTACAGGAAGTAAGAAGTGCAGTTCTAAGATAGATGGCAGCGTGTTTGATAAACAAATAATTTATTAGCGTGTCATGGACCATGTAAATGTTTAAATTAAGTTTTTAAAAAAGAGCTAAATTAAATATCTGCAGTTACATATATTAGGACCAAAGACAATTAAGCACTGAGTAGCTTTTAGGGAACTTGTTCGTTTTGAAGAAAACCTATATAATAAGACTCATTACAGTACTGAGATGATGTGAGGCTCCCCTGTCCCAAGCCATTTAGAGAATCCCACATCCTTGCCACTCCTCCCTTCATACACATTCTCACTAAGCAGTATGTATGTGTGTGTGTGTGTGTGTGTGTGTTTCAATTCAATTCAATTCAATTTTATTTATATAGCGCCAAATCACAACAATAGTTATCTCACAGCGCTTTTCATAAAAGAGCAGGTCTAGACCATACTCTATGATGTGTGTGTGTGTGTGTGTGTGTGTGTGTGTGTGTGTGTGTGTTGTTGATCTGCTCGGCCTCAGGCCTGTCTGTGTGTGTGACACATCGGCATGTGTGCGCCTCACAATCCACAAGGGAGCCTAAAGTCCAAATTGATGTTCCCCTCTTTGTTATTTCTTTTTCTTTATACATATGCACACATAAACACACAATTACAGCCACATGCACTCACACGGTGGCCAGTTCTGAGGTCAGCTGTGATCATGCCTCATATTTACATTCTTGTTTTAAGGAAACTGTGTACAAGGCAGTAGTAGATGGTGATCTTGCAAGGTGTAGTCTCTTTTTTTTTTTGTGGTGGTTTTCTGTTGTTTCTTTTAAGTGGGGGAATGAGGTCGAGGGAGTGCAGACACAGGAAACAAATCTAAGGTGAGAGAAAGGTTTCATCAATAAATAAATAAATAAACCGAGTATATGCATCAATAAGTTAATAAGTTAAAGGTGTCTGTCTGTACATGAGTGGGCACTCCATAGCTTCATTCTTCTGTGACAAAACTTCCTGACGTGATGATACTGAAGCAAGACAACGCTGCGTGCGGCTCTCTTCTTCAGAATGTGTGTGTGATAGGCATGCAAGTTGTGTGAACTTAAAACTATATATGAAAACTGTTGGAGTCACACTGCCGTGCCGTGAAAGCTGAAAGCACGGCTTTTCTTGATTCATGTGTGTTCTTTCTTTCGTGTAATGGCTCCCAACACTGTGTCCGACACGGTTTAGTTCGTTTTAAGCATAGCGACGCCTTTAGAGAATTAATAAGCTTCCACATTACAAATTCTTGGAATTCGTCTTTTTATCTGATCTGTTAACAGTGGCATAGTTTGTTAATTAGGTTTGAAATGTAATGTTTCGAATTTGTAAATGCACCATAAAGATTTATAATGCCTAGCAGTGTAATCATACAATGTATTACAACTGCCCTCATGTTGGATGGGAAATACTTGGAATGCGGATAAAGACACCATTTATACTCTTGGGTGGATCCGATCCAAGAAAGATTGCAAACCAATTTGTGATCTGGCCAATGGAGATGCATATATGTCGCATAATGTACGTAAAATTGAACATAGTCTGGTTTAAGCTAGAAAGCAAATACACATGATCATACATACTACAGTCATGAGTTCTAATCTCCTTTGCATGTACTGTAGGTCTTACGTGTGTTTAAAAGCTGATTTGTGACTTGGGAGAAATGTTAAAACCATAGTCTGTAAGCAAATCATTGGCGTATACGTCTTTTAGGTTTAGGTGATAATTTTGTAAGAGCAAGTGGTTTTACAGAATCTCCATGTGGAGCAAAATTCTCCAAGCAGATCTACAGTCAGTCTGCCAGTGAGAATGTGACTCTACAGTTTATTACAACTCATCAAAACTGGGGGGGGAAACTGCTGAGCTCACAATGAAGAGGAGAGATTGTAGAAGAGGAGAGAAAGCTCGGGACTGGCAGCTGCATAAATAAGTCATCATGTATCCATATAGAGACATGTAATAGAAGTATTGATCATCGTCGTCATGTATCATAGTAATGATGCATTGCTGTGGCAGGAATAAACTTGCAATAAAAGTGTGGCAGTCAGGGAAAAACCCAAAGTTTAGAGTGATAGTGTGCGAGTGTGTGTCTCTGTCAGTGTGTGTTCTGTGCCTTTGTTGGGGTGTGTTTTCAGGGGAAGTAGGGGATATCAGCGGTTGTACATTCACGGTGAGAAGTTAGGAGGTGCTGTCCTGACGTGGCCTTCACAGGCCGGGTCAGGTTCAGGGGTCATCTGAAGGTGTGTGTTGCTCGGGGGCGGTAAAAGTTGAAAGGTCATGGCAGGGTAGTTGGTTTCCTCTAGAGAAGGATGCACTTTCCTTTCTCCACCCACGGGTTGTTCTTCATCAGCTCCGGGTTCAGGAAGGGATCCTCTGGGACGCCATCCTCTATCCACTTTACCAAGCTTTGTAGAGAGACAGAGACATTTTTCAAATTCCAGAGGAAGTTTATTACCACAATCTTTTATCCAGTTTTCCTCTTTTCCATATAAGGCAAAGTAGAGAACTTTACAGCAGTTTAAATCACATCCAATAAAGACTGCAAATGGTAATGGCTTTCATAAGCTTTACACAGGAAAGTAGCCATTCACAATATACCAGATGTCAAACGTGAGTATTCTAACTAAAGGTTTAAAAGTTTTTGCTTTTTATTGTGTAATTTCCTTATTCACTTTCATGGTGAAAGTTGGATGAGAAGATCAAAACCACTCTCATTTCTATAGGACAAATATGAAGCTACCACCCAGGTGGTCGCAGTAACTTCCTGTGCCTGTAGTCCTACATATAACCCTCCATGAATGTTGTTTCCACACCAAGACATAACATGTTAATTAGTTAGATCTGGTGGACTGTGTGAACAGAGTCAGGCTGGCTGTTTCTCCCCAATTCCAGTCTTTATGCTAAGATGAGCTAACTAACTTCATAATTACACACATGAGATGTATTGAGCTTCTCATTAAAGTCTCAGCAAGAAAGTGGACAAGTGCAACTTCAACAAGACTTCAACAAGAAATAACACTTTCTCTTACAAATGATTCGTAAGCAAAAATTTGCTTCAATTGCTTCAACACACTTTTTTCTGCAACAGCCTTACTTGATCTAATATGACTATCTGATCTGGTATCTTATGGCTAATGTTAGCAAACATTAACTAACATAGATAACGTAGATAGGTGTTGCTTTCTAACTGATCTGTAACTGAGATAGTTCCCTGTTGATTCACGTGTCCAAATTCAGTTGTATTTTAAATGAGTCAAGCAATGCACTCTTTCTTTCAGTTGAGAGTTTTACACAAGGGTTTCAAAACAATGACCCTGAATACTTTTGTACACTGCATGAAAAACAGCATTACTCAAATGCCTGTCCTCTCTAGCAGTGCTGATGAAGCCTCAGAAGTGTTTCTTCTGAGTTTCCTTGATTGGCACTGCAGGGAGACAAAGAGAGCTCTGTAAAGAACTCAGTGACGGCTAAAGCTTTGCTTAATGCTTCGATGTGCGCTGTGGCTGTAATAATAGCCAACAAGGCAGCATTAGTTAATGAAGTCATATCACTTTTTTATCATTGTGGTGGAATTACTAATGGTGTCATATCCAAATCATCTGCGGGTAGCATGTATTATATTGATGTACAGTTGAATAAACCACTGAATACTACTTTGGAAACAGCAGTTGGTTAAACAATCTTGTTCTGGAGCTTTCAACCTTATCACACAGCGGATGGGTGATGTCTGCTCAGTACTCTGTGATTAATTAACATGTCCGTACGGTAAATATGAATCTACCATGAACAACTAGCCTGAAACAGCTAGCCTGTCTATGTCAAGACGTAACAATATCCATTATGTCTAAAAGTCACTATCAACACAACATACAGTGCCTTGCGAAAGTATTCGGCCCCCTTGAACTTTTCGACCTTTTGCCACATTGCAGGCTTCAAACATAAAGATATAAAACTGTAATTTTGGGACACAAAGTGAAGTGGAACGAAATTTATTGGATATTTCAAACTTTTTAACAAATAAAAAACTGAAAAATTGGGCGTGCAAAATTATTCAGCCCCTTTACTTTCAGTGCAGCAAACTCTCTCCAGACGTTCAGTGAGGATCTCTGAATGATCCAATGTTGACCTAAATGACTAATGATGATAAATAGAATCCACCTGTGTGAAATCAAGTCTCCGTATAAATGCACCTGATCTGTGATAGTCTCAGAGGTCCGTTTAAAGCGCAGAGAGCATCATGAAGAACAAGGAAACACCAGGCAGGTCCTAGATACTGTTGTGGAGAAGTTTAAAGCCGGATTTGGATACAAGCTTTAAACATCCCAAGGAGCACTCTGCAAGCGATAATATTGAAATGGAAGGAGTATCAGACCACTGTAAATCTACGAAGACCCGGCCGTCCCTCTAAACTTTCAGCTCATACAAGGAGAAGACTGATCAGAGATGCAGCCAAGAGGCCCATGATCACTCTGGATGAACTGCAGAGATCTACAGCTGAGGTGAGAGACTCTGTCCATAGGACAACAATCAGTCGTATACTGCACAAATCTGGCCTTTATGGAAGAGTGGCAAGAAGAAAGCCATTTCTTAAAGAGATCCACAAAAATTCTCGTTTAAAGTTTGCCACAAGCCACCTGGGAGACACACCAAACATGTGGAAGAAGGTGCTCTGGTCAGATGAAACCAAAATCGAACTTTTTGGCAACAATGCAAAGCGTTATGTTTGGCGTAAAGGCAACACAGCTCATCACCCTGAACACACCATCCCCACTGTCAAACATGGTGGTGGCAGCATCATGGTTTGGGCCTGCTTTTCTTCAGCAGGGACAGGGAAGATGGTTAAAATTGATGGGAAGATGGATGGAGCCAAATACAGGACCATTCTGGAAGAAAACCTGATGGAGTCTGCAAAAGACCTGAGACTGGGACGGAGATTTGTCTTCCAACAAGACAATGATCCAAATATAAAGCAAAATCTACACTGGAATGGTTCACAAATAAACATTTCCAGGTGTTAGAATGGCCAAGTCAAAGTCCAGACCTGAATCCAATCGAGAATCTGTGGAAAGAACTGAAAACTGCTGTTCACAAACGCTCTCCATCCATCCTCACTGAGCTCGAGCTGTTTTGCAAGGAGGAATGGGCAAAAATTTCAGTCTCTCAATGTGCAAAACTGATAGAGACGTACCCCAAGCGACTTACAGCTGTAATCGCAGCAAAAGGTGGCGCTACAAAGTATTAACTTAAGGGGGCTGAATAATTTTGCACGCCCAATTTTTCAGTTTTTTATTTGTTAAAAAAGTTTGAAATATCCAATAAATTTCGTTCCACTTCATGATTGTGTCCCACTTGTTGTTGGTTCTTCACAAAAAATTACAGTTTTATATCTTTATGTTTGAAGCCTGCAATGTGGCAAAAGGTCGAAAAGTTCAAGGGGGCCGAATACTTTCGCAAGGCACTGTATCTTGAGTTTTTCTTGATTTTGGCTGAGCTGTTTCCAGTCTGTTCTCTTTGTGCTGAGCTATGCTAATCGCTGCTGGCTGTAGCTTCATATTTAACGCACAGACATAAGAGGTGTGTGTCCTCTCCTCGTCTCATATTAAGCAAATTTCAAGGACGGCCTTTTTTCACCTACGCAATATTGCGAAAATCAGGAACATCCTGTCTAAAAATGATGCAGAAAAACTAGTCCATGCATTTGTTACTTCTAGGCTGGATTACTGCAATTCTTTATTATCAGGCTGCTCTAAAAAGTCCATTAAGACTCTTCAGCTGATCCAGAATGCTGCAGCACGTGTTCTGACAGGAACCAGGAAAAGAGATCATATTTGTCCTGTTTTAGCTTCTCTGCATTGGTTTCCAGTAAAATCCAGAATAGAATTTAAAATCATTCTTCTCACCTACAAAGCTCTTAATGGTCAGGCACCATCTTATCTTAAAGAGCTCATAGTACCTTACTACCCCACCAGAGCACTGCGCTCCCAGAATGCAGGGTTACTTGTGGTTCCTAGAGTCTCCAAAAGTAGACTAGGAGCCAGAGCGTTCAGATATCAAGCTCCTCTCCTGTGGAACCAGGTTCCAGTTTGTGTTCAGGAGGCAGACACCATCTCCACATTTAAGAGTAGGCTTAAGACTTTCCTCTTTGATAAAGCTTATAGTTAGGGCTGGCTCAGGTGAGTCCTGAACCATCCCTTAGTTATGCTGCTATAGGCCTAGACTGCCGGGGGACTTCCCATGATGCACTGAGCTCCTCTCTCCTCTACTTTCTCTCCCTCTGTATGCAACCTCATCCCATTAATGCATGTTACTAACTCTTTTTTCCCAAAATGTCCAATTACTGCTTTGCTTAAAAATGCTATCTTGTAAATGCAGTAATGAATCTGTTGACTTCAAATCTTCAGTAGCAAATTTGAATGAGCAAATTTTAAATTTTTGCACACTGTGTCTAATTACATTTTTTAATGTTTTTCAGTGTAATGTATTTATCAAAAACAAAGCGATTTTATTTTTGAGCTCACAGCTACTTGTCACAGTTCTTTTGGGGCTTGACCTGTGTGAAGCTGTTTGTGGAGCTATTGAACTAACTACTCACTCAGTCACTGTTTTGGAGGACTTCTCTCGTTTGAAGGCCAGCTGGTACTTGAGGCTCTCCACCTCCTTCTTCATCTGGGGCAGGTCCATCTCATCCATGGCTGCAGCTTGATGTAGGGCCTTTCTACCTGAATACAGCAGGAAGGCCAAAGTTATATTTATACAGTACATAACACTGTTAAATAGTAGGCAGACACACGCAATACACCTGTGCCCTGCAGCAAGAACACCAGGAAGTACATATGATTTGTAACTGCTGCTAAGCGATTCCACCTACAGGAAGGGAGAATAGAGGCTGTTACAAACAAGTGCTGCCAAATCTGGCAGACCCACTTAACACCACAGGATACATTCAGTTGTCTTCTGTTGTGTGCTCAGGGCTTCATGTTTCCACTTTAGGAAAGGTTCCACAGCTTTGATAAATATGCCAAATTTAATTACATTTGCAACCAACATGACAGCAGCACATCAGTTTTCTGCAAATGTTGGTTCATGTCTTATATTTTGTCACCTCTAGTTTGATCATTTTATACCAAGATTCATGACTGCAGATTATTTTTAGTACCTGAAGGGTTTATTCAAGACCAACACTTATTAGTATTCTGGGTGTATACATGTACGTAGATATGTATACAAATAACTGTATATATTGTTTATTTTATTTTATATGTTACCATATTTTAATTAATTCATGTGTAGCATGAAAGGACTATAAACTTCCTTTAGTCCATGTATTGTATAATTACAAATAAGTTACCTTGTAAAGATTATTTTTTTGCTTCAGTGCCCAAAAAGAAGAAAAAGGACAGCGTGTACTTATGCTGCGTCCCATTTCTTCCCATTTGCCCTTGACCCCCCCCCCCATCCTATTGCGTGTGCCCCTGAAATGCAGTGGTGTCCCAACACAAAACTTCACTCTGTGAGATGAGTGTTTAGGCGTCCCTCTCATCCCCACACCCACTGCATTGTGGGCTATCTGAAGCAGAAAAAGAACAGCACATGTGATCCTCCATTACAGTAATTCCCAACCAGCGGTAGTAGGGGGTAAAAATTGTGGCGTAACTCAACTAGCTGAAACACCAGAACACTATATGTGTGATTGAGAGTATATAAAAGCAAATTAGCAAGTAAGGAGAGGATTGTACCTTAAACAAGGGGAAAAGGTTTGGTGTATAGTGGAACAAATCTTGGTAGAGACAACTGAACATCTAGGTTGGCATGTGGAGCAAGAAAGCAAATTTAGAATTTCACCAAGATGCCACACCCAGGATTTGCACAAACAACCTTAATCATCCTATTTCAAGGAATACTTTTTTAGAGGTTCCAACATGAGCACATTACAGTGTACTGTCATGTGTTGTGTGATGCAAAAGATCCTGTTTGTATGCTTTCCACATAGCAGGCCCTTGTCATTTAATGGCCTCAGTGAGGTAAGGAGGGTAGAACACACTTGCAGCTATCATTTACAGCTGACAGGAAGGGTGTAACAGAGAGGATGTGAGTAAGTACTTTATATATTTTTCCGCACCGGTTCTGTTTATGACACCAGTACTTCTTGGATCTTCTTAAGATTGGATTTTCCAGGCAAATCATAAAACCCTAAAACTGTATTATGCTGGTTGGGTGGTTCAGATTTTTTTATACAATCATTACTCCCTCGACACAAGCTGTAGAGATTAATGCATCAGTGATATGCACTTAAACAGGTCATATGCATTTCGCCTAAACTGCAAATTTAATAGGACGAACCATAATTAGCAAGACAAAGTCCATCCTATGGAGACTGAACTGTAGTGCATTTTATAATGTCATAGGTTATTAGCTGTAATTGAAGTTGAAGATTGTATTGTATGAGAAAATTGTTGAGAGCATGAAATTGTATCATATATCATGTAATTTGTCATCACATTATATATTATTTAGCCATGTATATATGTTGATGAGAGAATAAACGCTGTGTTGCAGTTGCAAATGTTACAGGATTATTTGTGGAAACTAAAATCACGATGTACAGTTATATGATGTTTTCAGCCTTCTAGTACACTTCAGTGTTGGGCGAGAGGGAGAAAGATACACGTAACTGGGTCAAAGTCATTGCTAACTACACTTAACTGCAGTCCTGCACTTCTGTATAAATGCACTGTGGCATTCAGGTTAGCTGTAAAGGATTCACAGAAGATTTTGTCAAAATCCTTTTAGGATGTTAATGCCTTAAATGAATATTTCCACATTTACTTCCACAACGCTTATTCACTTTTTTTGAGTATAAATGAGTGACACAAGAAGATTGATATCACCGCTGTGTACGAGGAGCTAGAGTCCAGATGTGGTTAGCCTAGCTTAAGATAAAGACCGGAGAGATGGCAACCAGCTAGCTTGGCTTTGTCCATAGTGAAATAATACGCCTTGCAGCAAGTCTAAATCTCACAAATACGTTTGTTTAACCCAACACAAATGATGAATTACTTGCTGAAACTATTCCAAGAGCAGTGACTACGCACAGCTTCCCAACGTCATGTCACCATTTTTTTTTTTACTTTGGACCTAGCAAATTTACCTGTTTTCCCCTTATTTTCAGTCTTTATGCTAAGCTAGGCTAAACATGTATTGGTCTTGTATAGCCAGACCTCTCTCAGGTCTGACTGAACCCATTACCATTCTGCTATAGGGGGAAAAAACAATCATCTAGACTCCCCCCTTCAGCTCTGGTAAACCAGGCACAAAACCGCATTATGTGAACTATTCGGCAAGGGCTTGTATGTAGCGATCTTCTCATTTCACTCACAAAAATAAGGTGAATAAAATGTTAAAATATTCCTTTAAAGCACAGTATATTTAGGATTTTACATAACCCAATGAGGCACACACTTGGTTGTGAAGGGTTACAGTGAAAGGAAGGGTGTAATGTATTTTGGGCCATGCAGTTTGTACCTCTGTCTCATGTTAAATTCAGTAAAATGCTTTATCAGTTATTTACAAATAATTCATAATTGGACTTGAATTTGTAACTCAGGATAATACCAAGAAAGCCAAACAGGCCAGTGGTCAACTCTCCACAGCAATATTGTCTCTTCCGCTGCGTCTTTTTCTTTGTCCGTTGCTCTTTCCCTTCCTCTCTCTCTCTCACTGCCCACCCACGCTCTGTGTCCACCATACCCTCTCAACTCCCACTCTTCCCCTCTTCTGTGTGTACTTGTGTTTGGGTACCCTCGAGTGTGTGTGTGTGCGTGTGTGCGTGCCTGTGCGTGCCTGTGCGTGCCTGTGTGAGTCATTTGAGGATTCGGGTGAGCCGAGTGCTTGTCTAGTCTGCACATAGAATCGATCTCACTGAGGTGCTTCAACACAGAAACAACAACGATATTTTTAAGGGACATTAAATAATACTTGATATTATGCAATAGTCCTTGATGACAGTTTAGTGAGTGAGGGGGCATTTTGAGGCAGGAAATAGCAGCTCTGAATTCAACACCTACTTCACCGCATGGTCAGGATGCTATTGAAGTACATAGACCGTAACAATCCAATAGACATTTGTTGTATTTCAATTTAAATGGCTCTGAAACGCTCTACTTCTATTTTTAACGCGATGCAGAGTAGTTGGACAAATGGGGAGATACAGTAAACATAAAAATCTAATAATAAAGAAATATACATGCATCTACATAAAATATTTCCCTACAGACGTCACATATTAGAAAGCAATGTTCCATACCGTGAATTCTGTCTGTTATGTGAAAAGTTAAAGATAAAAGATAAAGATTGGAAACAAGCTCTAATCATCATCTGTCTGAACAGCTAAAAGCCTTAGGCATGCATTGCTAATTGCTGATTTCAACACCAAGCTCCTTTATTTTTGTTTGAAAGTCTTGGTCACATACGACAGCAATTAAGACACAAGAAAAGGTCTTGGTTCATAAAAAGTGAGAGCCATACGAGCATTTAGAAATACAGAGATAAATTTCTAATGACATAGTGAGGTGTGTGTATGTGTGTGACTATGAGGGAAACGCCAGGCGCAATATTAGGCTACATGACAAATGTTGTGTCGTACCAACAGAGAGGCAGAGAGGCAGAGAGATGTCCTGGCTGAGATCAGGTTTCAGGGCATCCTCTAAGACAACAGGAGGACTGAATGCTTTCCTCTTTCTAACTATCACTCACCATCTCCTTCATCCCAGTTATCCCATCTCTCCCTCTTTCCCACTTTCACTTCTATTTGTCTACTCAATCTATCTCTTTCCCCACCACCTTTCCTGTCTCCTGTTCTCGCTTCTTCTCTGCCAGTGTCTCTGTTTGTCTACCGCCCTTTTCATTTTTCTTCTAATTCATCTCATTCTCGCCCTTTTTTTCCACACTGTCTCTGCCTCAGTATCTGTCGTGATCTTTCTGAAAGAGGGATGCACCAAGTTTTGGGGTAGACTGAGATAAGAATACAAAGGTGGTGGGTGATGGTACACCGCATACAGCTGCCAGAAAAAACAAAATCAAACTCTCTGAATCAACTACATTGATTTAATATTACGTTACTGCAGCTTTCACCTCAGTCTATTAGCAGGATATCATGTAAGTAGCCATGACATAGCATATTACAGACCTCTTGACAGAGTTCTCATTTTAAAATGAGTCAACTTAAAACATTAAAAAGTCAGCTGGAGGCAGCATTTTCACCCTACTCATGAAGCTAGCTTTAGCTAGCTACAGCGGATAAACTAGCGACATTTGTAGTCGATATAACAAAATCAACTATTGCCAGTTAGAAATGAGAAGCCTGCTTTTGTCTACCTCTGTCTGACCTCCAGGATCAATTATTGTAATTGGAAAATATGCCACCATCATTGTACTTTGCATATAGAGATACGAAGTCATGGTGTCATGTCCAGTAGTTTTGGTAGTATGAGGTTTACTTCACATACGTCAGAGAAATCCCCATCTACAACTTTGGTTGGTAGCTTTTAGAAAATGCAACCTTTGTGATTTTAAAAAAGTTAAACATTGTTGTCAATGTTAGAACAGACAGCTTGACAGGTGTAGCAACAGTAACTGGGGCGGGGTTAGTGAACAATGGCTGCCTGGCTTATGTTCACAGGCAACCTTGAAGGTAAACTGAAGGTTGACATACAAAGCAAAAGACTTTGGCAGTAGAGACCGT